TACAGGGTCTCGTTGTGTAGATCGGACTCATAGTGATTCGCCTGTTTTCAGCCTCCCAAGTGCTGGGATTACAGACGCGTGCCACTACAGCATCTCAATCCCTGTCTCAGCATTTGTGGTGCCGGTGTGTCATTCCAGGGATTCAACCCAGGGCTGCTGTGCTCTGCCTAAAGGGCTCTTTAGTCTGCTGAGTTATCTGGCCAGTCCTCATGCTTGATCATTTGTACTCTCCTTCTTCTTAAACCCTACCCTACCCTTCCGAGAACCCCTTTCTATATTCAAAATGCCTTCCTCCATTTCCCTACTACCTTTTATTATAGTCTCAATTATTTATATTTGAGAAATAAGGGAAACCATGTAATATATAACCCCTATCTGCTTTATTTCACTTAGAATTGTGATCTCAGTGTCCACCCATTTTGTTACAAATGAATCTGATTTCCTTTTCTTTAAAGCAGAGCAGTATTCTCTTGTATAATATGCCGCATTTGCTTTATTTATCTACCGATGGACATAAAGCCCACGTCCACAATGCAGCTACTATAAATGGGGCTGTTCTAAGCATAGGTATGCATGTTCACTATAATATAGTTGATGATTTCACCTTTGGGGGGAAGTGAGTCTGCAGAGTAACATCTGGGTCATATGTAATCTCTGCTTTTGCTCTTTTTTTTTCTTTTCTGAGTGGACTTACCATACTGATTTTCATAACAATTATAGTCTATATTCTAATCAACAAAATAAAATGTTTTCCATATTCTTACAGGAAGTTGTTGTTTTTTGTGTTCTTAATGCAGCCATTCTTAGTGCAAAAAGACAGGTACTTGGTGTTTTAATTAGTTCTCTACAGTTTAGATGTAAAGGTAGTACTAGCTGTATTTCTTAGTAAAGAGAGTACTAATAGTACGTGGCATGATAAGCACTTATCTTCCTTAGTTACTCCTGATCAAATATAAGTGGTAAGCCAAGACTCTAGATAAACATTTATTTGATATTTTAGGACATTTTGTCAAATAAGTAAAATGATATTATACAATGAAATTGGCTAGTTACTCTTAATTGTGTTAAACACAGTGAGAGAAAAAACTTGAGTTTAGTGCTCCAAGTCCTACTTCAAATACTACCAACATGATCCAAGCATTTCCACAACTATTCTGAAAGAAATCACTATCTTCAGTAGGCCTGAAATTGTTGGAAACTGAACTGAGTCTCTTGCTGTTCGTAGTTAAAGTACAACACAAAGAGAATTCCTAGACTCACAGAGTGTCTGCGGATACAATTAAAGCAACAATTGGACAGGCATGGTGTCTTTAAAATCTGAAGAAGAATAACAGAGACCAGATGTTTTGGTCCCATAATTCCCCTGAGTCATGTCTGTACAGAGCAGTCCTTAGCTTTTGTGGGAAGAGGCTGGCCTGAGGACGTTCCAGTAGCCTCTCTAGAATTCCTTCGCCAGAGCAGTTTGCTGTTATTTGTGTGTTCTCTGCTTGAGGTCCCTAATAATTTAGGGTTTGCTTATCTTTGATTAGGTTGGGAAATTCTCAGCTATGTTTTGTTTTATTGCTTTTGTTTTCTTTCCTCTTGCTTTCTATCTCATTGCTGAGACAAAATGCTCAACATCCCAAATTAAATGGAGAAAGGTTGATTTAGTTCATGGTTGGAAGAGGCTTCAGCCCAGGATCAGATGGCTCCATGGCAGGGTGACAGTGTAGGGGAGAACAGACAGAAGAATACTGCAGAAGTAAGAAAAGCAGGAGACAAGACTCTGTCCCTTACACTGCAGGCAGACAACACACCCTCAGGAAGGCATAGCACTCATACGCTTAATCTTACCCAAAACTATGCCAAAACAATGAGTATATTAATTAATCATACATCCTTAATCCCAACATCTCGCACTCTAGATTTGCCCATGTTTGAAAAACCTGTCCCTCATTACTGCATGAGACTTTGGGGCGGGGACATTTACACACAAACCATATACTTCCCTTCCACCTTATTAGATCATCTTATCTTCTTTTAATTGCCCTATCTCTCCTTTCACTCTGAAAACATAGCAGATATGCTGAAACTTTTAAGAATGCCTTACAAATATTCTATGGAATTGACCGTATTTTCAATACATTTTACTCTCAGTGGTCTTCTATTTGCTAATGACTGGTCTTCCTGATCACTAAATATTACTTTATTTATGCTTTAAACTTTATTCTTAGTGGTAATTCTAGGATTATGATATGATTCACTTTATAGACTCCAAATCTTTATAGATCGTATATCTTCTTTATACATACTTGTTATTTAGAAATGTACATATGACTGTTACAAGAAAAATTTTAATGTCTTGGCTTTGATCATTTATTTCATTTAAATTTATTTTTGATAGAATATTGACCACTGTGTATAAAATATTATAAAGTTAATTGGAGGTGCTAAATGTGATTATCTTCCATGAGAATTTTCTGTTTTTTCTAGCAGGCAGAAAAGAGGAGATCAATTTAATTAACCTTGAGCAGGATAGATTCAAAACTGGATTTCTGCTTTTGTGAATAGGTTTACTCAGGTTTGCTCTAACTATAGTGGAAAGCCTTAAGTATTTACACCAGCTCATCTTCTTTGGCAGGTTCTGAGCAAATGTTCGGTTCCTTCATCCATGAACTTGGCAAGCCTCCCTTCAGCTTCTTAGCATTTTGGCTGAAATTTAAAAATCAGCAAATGTTTTGAAAAGTGCCAACTGTGAGGTTCATCTTAGCCCTTCCCTTTCTTTCTGGCATCTTGGCACCTCAAGATCTAACCGTATTAGCAGACATCAATCCTTCTTCTCACTTCCCCCATCCCGTGGGACAGCTCAAAGCTCTCTGATCAATTTCTCAGCACCTGTATCCTTCATACACATGAGAACTGGGACAGCAGCTTAGAAATTTAGGCGGTGGTCATAGAAACATATCCTTTCAAGATCTTGGTCTTTCAATGGATAGCTTTTAAAGTAATATTATAATATTTATTTTTTTTTGCTTTTAAAAATAAATTTACTTTAATATCTTTATGCCTAGTAATAACCAACATTACAAGACAACAAATACAGAATAATGATGGTATTTCTGAATAGCACTGCTGCTACAGTCTGACAGAACATTTTTTTAAAGGTTAAAATAGACATTACTGAGCTTTTAGTACTTAGAAGAAAAAAAGACAAAAGTTTTTGGAATCAGAACTGGATTCAAATTCTATCTTTTTTATCACAACTCTGATCCTATTCTCCTAAAAGATGCTTACCTGACACTGTAGCTGATAAGACTAAATGAACTGATACAGAAAAGAAGTTCTAAGAGGTTCTGACTGGCAGTTCGCTATCTGAAACAGCCAGGAGTAAGGAGAGCTATTTACAGTCTTGCTGATAATCACGACGCAGCATGGAGCAGAACACTTCCTTTTCCACTGGAGATCAGATTTCACAATACTTCTGTGGTGGAGCTCAATGACTGAGGGTGGGAGGACCAGAATTCTCCAAGATGTTACTGGCAGTACATGCTGCTCATTCCTCAACCACTTAAAAACAATCCCATACAGTTTCTGTCAGCCTCTAGTAGAATATAGAAAATTAATTATTCAGGTATCTACAGAGACATTTTCAAAAACTCTGAGGTCAAGTTAATGGAAATATTGAGACTACTTGTTTAATTTTCTACAACACAGTATTATCTAGAAAACCTGATGATGTCAAACACTTTAGGACACCAAAAAACAATGCCTGAATGAGCATTATTTTCCTCAATCACCTCAAATAACAAAATATTTTAAAAATTCTACCCTTTTAATTACATAAATAAAGTATACAGGAACACACAATTACTCATCTGAAACAATGTTAAATACGAAGTATTTAAGTATAGATTTTCAAATATCAATCTAGGAATCACACTGCTCTTCAGTGCTAGTAAAGTACTTGGAAAAGTTTATTTTGTGCTTTGAGTTTTTTTTCTAAGGCATCACAAATTACACATCCAAACTCTTCAATGGCAGGACAGTTTCAGTCTAAAGGAGAAGTCTTAAGAAACATTATCATACAGTATGATAATGCCAATCTAATAGAGTCACACAAATAGAACTTAAGGAAAAGGCATTAGAGAAATCACCCACCATATAATGGCTGGATGATTCCAAGTATTTATGGTTTTTCCCTTTCTTGTGGCTAATAAGAGTCCTCTATCACACCTGTCCTTTGTTGCCAGGTAAAAAATATATGGTCCACACTGCTGATTTCCACTTGGAAAATACTACCCAATATTAGCAATCAAGAATAAAATATGAAATCTGTCTTTTTAAAAACATTAACAATGTTATAATTTTAAAACATCAAGCATCCACTAACTGCAAATTCAACTGAGAATTTTTGCATATGGTGACAAAGGTACAATGAAAATGTACAGATGTATCTTCCTGAGCAGAATGCAAATGTAATTTTTTT